TGCCTCCGCTTCCCCCCTCTGCCCTTCCGCCCTGTTTGAGGGCTCGCAGGCCGTTTGGACGGCCGCGCGCCCTTGCAAACACATGGTTTCTCGAGCCGTCCTTCTCCTGGTAGGGACGATGGTAAAGACGGGTAACCTTACCCAAATATGCCCCTGCAGCCATGCCTCTTCGGCTCATCCTGGGCCACTTTCGCTGGCCGCGCCCCGCTCGAAAAGTGCCTGCATGGCCTTCCAGGGCCCCTTCATCCTTATCGTGCATCCTTACTTCACCAAGCACGTTCCACTTCTCGCAGAGTGTCTAGCAGACGTTCGAACATCACATGTTCGTCTCGATCGAATTGATCGTGTATCCTCCGCGGCGGATCCAGGCCATTTGCGAGTAGTCATCCGTACGAGCTTCGCCCCCTGCCGCCGGCCCCCTCTCTGTCATAGTGGGATCTATCAGAGTCGCGTCGGTGCGTCTCGGCGCTGCCTTGGCGCATCAGGGAACATCATGCGGGGACGGATAGGAATCATCAGCGCAAATTGAGACGTCGGCTTTATCGAAAAAGCCTACGGCGAATCACCGCCGCCCCCTGTCTTCTACAATCGCAGCATGTGGCCGAGCGTTGTGGCAATAGCTCTGACAAGCTATTGGACCATGTGTTCCCCCTACCGTGTGGAAACCCTTCAGGGAACACTTGGGGGAGGATGGCGGGGAAGATCAGGAAGAGGCGGAGCAGGAGGAGGCGGAGGAGGAGGAGGAGGAGGAGGAGGAGGAGGAGGAGAGGAAGGAGGAGGAGGAGGAGGAGGAGGAGGAGGAAGAGGAGGAGGAGGAGGAGGAGGAGGAGGAGGAGGAGGAGGAGGAGGAGGAGGAGCTGGGAGCCTCTGGGGACACTCTTGGCGCCTCCTGGGAGCTTCCTGGGAGCCTCTTGGAGGCATCCTGGGGGCCTCCTTGGGCCTCTTGGGGGCCTCTGGTGGCTTCTCGGAGGCCTCCTTGGCCGTTTTGGACCATCTTAGAGCCATGTTGGGCCGTCTTGGTGAGCTCCTGGCCCGTCTGACGCCGTCGGAAGCTGTCTTGGGGGCCTCTCTGGGCCGACTTGGGGCCCTCTTGGAATGCTCCACGGCCGTCTTGGATGCCGTCTTGGGCGTCTTAGAGGCCTCTTGGGCCGTCTTGGGGCCCTCTTGAGGCCGTCTTGGGGGCCTCTTGGGCAGTCCTGAGGCCATCTTGGGGGCTTCCTGGGCGCCCTGGGGGGCGATCTTAGGGGGCTCTTGGGCCGTCTCGGGCCGTCGGTAGGCCGAACAGAAGCACATACCGACATCCTTCAAAACCCAAGGACAATCAATTATTTGGCCTCTTTGCGCCTTCCTGGAGGCCCTCTTGGAGGTCTCTTGGGCCGTCTTGGGCCATCTCAGAGTGATCTTGGGCCGTCTTGGTGGGCTCCTGGCCCGTCTGACGCCGTCGGAAGCCGTCTTGGGGCTTCTCTGGGCCGACTTGGGGCCCTCTTGGAATGCTCCATGGTCGTCTTGGAGGCCATCTTGGGCGTCTTAGAGGCATCTTGGGCCGTCTTTGGGCCCACATTTTTGGACTCCCAAAGGAAATCAATGCTTTGGGTCTCTTCGGGCCTTCCTGGAGGCCCTCTTGGAGGCCTCCTTGGCCGTCTTGGGCCATCTTAGAGCCATGTTGGGCCGTCTTGGTGGGCTCCTGGCCCGTCTGACGCCGTCGGAAGCTGTCTTGGGGGCCTCTCTGGGCCGACTTGGGGCCCTCTTGGAATGCTCCACGGCCGTCTTGGATGCCGTCTTGGGCGTCTTAGAGGCCTCTTGGGCCGTCTTGGGGCCCTCTTGGGGCCGTCTTGGGGGCCTCTTGGGCAGTCCTGAGGCCATCTTGGAGGCTTCCTGGGCGCTCTGGGGGCGATCTTGGGATCCTCTTAGGCCGTCTCGGGCCGTCGGTAGGCCGAACAGAAGCACATACCGACATCCTTCAAAACCCAAGGACAATCAATTATTTGGCCTCTTTGCGCCTTCCTGGAGGCCCTCTTGGAGGTCTCTTGGGCCGTCTTGGGCCATCTCAGAGTGATCTTGGGCCGTCTTGGTGGGCTCCTGGCCCGTCTGACGCCGTCGGAAGCCGTCTTGGGGCTTCTCTGGACCGACTTGGGGCCCTCTTGGAATGCTCCATGGTCGTCTTGGAGGCCATCTTGGGCGTCTTAGAGGCATCTTGGGCCGTCTTTGGGCCCACATTTTTGGACTCCCAAAGGACATCAATGCTTTGGGTCTCTTCGGGCCTTCCTGGAGGCCCTCTTGGAGGCCTCCTTGGCCGTCTTGGGCCATCTTAGAGCCATGTTGGGCCGTCTTGGTGGGCTCCTGGCCCGTCTGACGCCGTCGGAAGCTGTCTTGGGGGCCTCTCTGGGCCGACTTGGGGCCCTCTTGGAATGCTCCACGGCCGTCTTGGATGCCGTCTTGGGCGTCTTAGAGGCCTCTTGGGCCGTCTTGGGGCCCTCTTGGGGCCGTCTTGGGGGCCTCTTGGGCAGTCCTGAGGCCATCTTGGAGGTCTCTTGGGCGCTCTGGGGGCGATCTTGGGATCCTCTTGGGCCGTCTCGGGCCGTCGGAAGGCCGAACAGGATCAAATACGAAATCCTTCAAACACCCAAGGACAATTAATGATGCTAGCCTCTTCGGGCCCTCCTGGAGGACCTCTCGGAGGCCTCTTGGGCCGTCTTGGAGGCCTCTTGGGCACTCTTCGGCAGTCTTGGGCCGTCTTGGAGGCCATATTGAACCATCTTGGGCGAACTTGAGGGCCATCTTGGCAGTCTTGGAGGCCACCTTGGGCCATCTTGGAGCCATCTGGAGCAGAAAAATCACGTCAAAGCCCGCGTCGTAGACCTTGCCGGGTTCCGCAAGCCCAACGGTACGTGCGTCAAGGTCCCGATGGTTCGGAAGAGGAACACGTTCGGCGTGCCAGCGAACGTGCACAAGGACGTTCAGGACGCCAAGCGCGTGATCAAGGAGAGGAAGCGGCTGGTAGGAGGTCGCTACCCAAGCATCGTCGCGACCAACGAGGACGTGGTGATGAAGGACGAGGGGGCCGTCCAGGCTGATGGAGCTGCAGCGCCTGTGCCCGTTGCAGAGGGTGCTGGGTCGGCTTCGTCGGGGTCTGGCGGCGCGGCTCCCGAGGTAGTACCTGCGGCGGCGGCTGAGCCGGCAGAAGGGCCACCAGCGAGGGACCCAGCCGCCGGAGCAGCTGCTACGAGCTCGCTTGAAGGAGCTGGGCGCCGCGATTTACGGCGCCAAGGAACAGCTGTGGAGCCGCCTAGTACATACATGCATATATATATGTATATATATATATATATGTATGTATATATATATATGTATATATGTATACACCTATCGAATATACTCTTTGAGTGAAACACACAGGTTTGTGTCCACGCCGGGCAAGCGCGGTGTCCTCGCTCGCGGGGTCTCGGGAGGTAGGTCTAGGCCAGAAGGACTATTTACCCCCGCCTTTGCCCACATGCGATGCGATCTCCGTGGTCGTGGTCGGCCTGCCCCGCCCCCCGCAGGCCGCTCCGCTTCCCCGCGACCCGCCCCGAAACACAGAGTGCCGAACGGGGTGGCGCGGAACTCCTCTCGCCCTCTGGGCGCTCGGGGGTTGCGGGGCCTGCCCTCCTCTCTGCCTGCCCGCTGTGTGCGCCACCCGCGGCTCTGCTGCCCGGCCTGCCGCTCCGGCCGCGCAGAGCGTCCTGCCAGCGCCGCGACCCCCCAGGAGAGGTGCTCTCGGGGGCCAGTGCTCCGAGGCCTCCCTGTCCCCCGAGAGCCTCCCACGCGCGTAGATCGGAGGCCCTCGAGGAGTCCTGCCTGGCTTGGCATCGCTCGGGCGTGTGCGCCGGTTCTCGGCCAGGGCCAACGAGGAGCGCCGCGGATCGTGCTGCGAAGACAGACGGGCACGGACTCGAAACGCGTTACGGGGAAGGGAGGTCCGAGCGATGGCGAGCTGGAGTGTCTCCCGCCCCGCCTCCTTCCCGAGGCAGCACCAGACCCTGGGCAGCACAGGTCTGGACCCCTCTGTGTTTCAGGGCCCCCAAGACGGCGTGGTGGGCACGCCGTGCGGTGAGCCTCTGGGGATTCGGGGTGACCGCACGGTTTCGGGGCTCGGGCCGTCCTCCGACGACGTCTCGGGGGACCCCGGGGGCCTCCGAGGTCCCAAGACCGTGCGGCGACGAATTGGGCGGCGAGATCGTGGGCTTTCGAGGTCGCCGCACGGTCTGTCGCCGCTCCGCCTCGGGGCCCCCAATAGTTGTGTGTGTGTGTGTGGCTTTTGGGTGTGCTAGCTCATCTTTTGCTTCAGGCGTGCCGGTCCATCCGCTAACGAGCCGCTGATGGGCAGTGTGCGCCATGGAGCAGGCGGGTCCCGATGGAAAGGTGTCCGCGAGTTTTCGCTCGCCGTTTTTGGGGCCCTCTGGGCCCGCTCCGGGATCGTGATTTAGTCCTGGGGGAATGCCCCGGGACACAGGGCCCGTTTCCTCCCAGACCCGCTTACGTCATGCTCAGCTCCGCACCGGGCGTGAGCCAAGGGCGCCCTCGAGGGCGCGAAGCTATTCGCGCTTCGCGCTTCGCGGTTCGGCTCCGATTCCTCCTCATCTTCCTCTTTTTCCCTGGGAGGCGGCGCGAGAGCGCGAAGTTATTCGCAACTCGCGCTTCGCGCAGCGCGAAGCGCGAAGTTGGGAGCTCTTGGTGAGCGCTGTCGGGGGGAACTGTGCCTGACGCGCTGCGAGGCAGGCTGGCCCGCTCATCACCGCCCACCAACCCGAAGACCCCGATTTGCCCTCCATTTCCAATGGGGGGGGTCGGGGACCATCGAAAAAGACATCTGAAGCCTGTACCCCCCCATCCTGAACTTCGGGCGAAATTCGGGCTTTCGGGTTGGGTTGGGATGGTTTGGTAGGCAGTCAGTTCAGATCCTGGCAGGAGGAGGCGGCGGAGCAGGCGGCGGTGAGGAGAGGAGATGGCCCTCGCCCGAGATCTTCATCGCGGAGCTTGTCTTCACCTTCACCCTGTGCCTGGTGGTGCTCTGCGTGGCCGCCTCCGAGATCAACTGCGTGAAGAAGCGCCCCCTGGCCCCGCCGGGACTCCGATCGGGCGGCCGCCGCTCCTCCTCCTGCCTGCTTCGCCCGCCCTGCTCCTGCCCTGTTGGGCCAAGGTGCTCAGGTCGGGTCCCTCCTCCCTCCTCCCTCCCTCCCTTCTCCCTCCCTACCTCCTCCTTTCCTCCTCCCTCCTCGGGTTCCCTCCCTCCCTCCCTCCCTCCTCCCTCCTCGGGCTCCGAAGAAGAGGGGGCTCCGTGCCTCGGGCCCTGCCTGGGGCCCGGGTCGTGGAGAACCTGCTCGTAGCCACGGGGCTCGCCGTGGCGAGGAGGCCTCCCGCGTTCCTTCTGCAGGCGGTTCCTCTGGTAGCACGATGGCCGTACACCTGCTCTGGGACGCGCAGGGGGCACACGAATACTGTATGATCAGATGTCCCCCTCGGAGGCGCGCGTCCGACCCGAGCATGTAGTATACCCATCTTGTAGTATATCGTTTCCCGAGCGGTGTGGCCAGACAGCGCCCGCCACGACGCAAGTACTACAGGATTTCTTGGTGCGCGCGTCGCCCCTGGGGGGGCGACGCACATGTAGTGTAAGTATGTTGGGGTGACGCCGATGCTCGGTGCGGAGGTAGCCGCTAAGCCAGGACCCCAGGCAAGGGGACCCGTTTGGTAGCAGGGCCCTGGAGCTTCTGAAGTGGCCAGAATCACTAAACCGGGTCTGCCGCAGCTGGTGCTCTTTCGGGTGACGGCAGTTCGGGTTAGTGAAATGGGTGTGTGTGTGTCTCTTAGTACACATCTCTAAACCAGGTCCCACTAAACCCAATTCTGCCAACGCACGATCGGTGACCACATGTGAACCTACCACCACCCCCCACCTTTTCTAAAGGGGGGGGGGTCGGGGCTCATTTCGCTCGGGAGCTCCCGAACGAAGTGACCCCCCCCCCCCGTTAGAAATCGTGGGGGGAGGGGGTAGGGCTCCTCCCGAAGGTCCGCCGAAGGCTCAAGCTCTCCCCCGAGTCTCTCCTCTCTTCTCCTCTCCTCTCGTTGCTCCCCTCTCCTCTTCTTCCGTAGCCATTCCGGCTCAAGCCCGTCTCAAGCCCCCTGGTCGCCATTTGCCTCCGCTCGTGGCCGGCTCGGGCGCTACTGCCTGAGAAGAATGGCGCGGGAAGACGGGGGGGTGCCCGTCCGATGCGCGACCGTCCAAGGCTGCCCGCGACCGGGCCCGTCTCTCCGCCGGCAGGGCGGTGGTCAGGCCGTCCGAGGGGCTCGCCCCTGCCAAGTCGGAGCTGGACGCCGCTGCGAAGGCGCTGGGCGGGCTTCTGGGCGGCGCGGAGGTGGCGGGGCGCGTGCTCCAGGAGGCTGGCGAGGGTGCGCAGGAACGTGGCTCACTCTGTCGTGCCAGGCTTTGCGATCGACGTGGCGGACGCGTCCACTCCTCGGAAGGCTCAGCATGGGCTTCGGCTCGAGTCCAGAATCGGCGTCCTCTCGAAGCATGTCGCGCCCTTCTTGCCAGGCGGCGGGTACTGATGCGGACTGGCCGACGTAGATTCGTCCTTGCATCTCTTGGCGGAGGAGCCCACTTTTGTCGCGGAGCCGTTTCAGTAGTAGAAGTTCGTCCCCCACTTCATCGATGCAGCGGTGGACGATTCTGCCTGGCCTGCATGATTGGTTCTTTCTCTCCACCTGTAGGGCCTTTGGGAGCCAATCTGCGAGTCCTGCGATCCTGGCCGTTCCCATCTCACGGTCGAGGAGCAGGAGGCGGAAACGCTGTTTACGGAAGTCGCGCTCCCGCTGTGCCGCGGAGCGCCTGCGTGCTCCGATGGCTCTGTTTGCCTTCGCTGCCATCGTGGGCGCCGACGTGGGCGCCTTTACGTCCAGCTGTGGCGGCACCGTCGCGGACGCTCACTGCCTCTTGTGATGGCGAGGGCTTCAGCACGCATTCTTCACGGTGGTGGCGTCCAGCTTCCTTGTTGCAAGGGGGAGCCATCTGGAGACGTGCGCCGTCGTCCACGTGTTCCATGCCATCGGCGTCTTCATCATTCCTGCCTTCTTCTGGCGTGCGTGCGAATGCTGCTTTGTCATCGTCGCTGAGGCCGACGGGACGGACACAGAAGCGCTGCGGTGCAAGGATGGCGACATGCTCCTCTGCCCCTGGTGCTGGCCTCCGAAGCTCGAGTAGTGGTTCATCGTTGCAACGGATACTTTGTGAAGTGCCTTTCTCGTGGTCTTCCTGGCTCTGGATAGCCAAGAGTACTTGCCTTCCCCGTTCGGCATCGTCGGCGTCGGCTTCGACTCGGCGTGCCTCGTCAGGTCCATGGGGCGCGGACGCGCGTGCCTTGAGTTTTTCGTCTTCGGCGGGGTCGTGCGCGGGAGGGTAGGCATAGAGTTGCAGCGGCAAAAGAAATCCCCTCTCCTTTTCTTCATCTGCTGATTATGGGCTCCGGGCTGCTGCGCTGTCCTCCCTCTCGGCCGCGCTCCAGCTCTGGTCCGTGCCTCCCGCGAGTGGTTTCCGCGCGCCAGATCTCCCAGGCTGCCGAAAAGGTACGTGCTTTTCCGCCCGTGTGGTGCGAGAGCGTTTTTGGTATTCCCTGGCGATGGCGGACGTGACTGGGGATGGATGGGGGCGGGGGAGGGGGCCAGTCACGTCGAGATGCGCGCCGGCGCCGTGTGGGAATGCTTAGGAATAGTTCATTCTCTGGCGGCGCGGGCGCGAGGGTGGATGGAGGGGGGCGAAACCAGTCGCGGGCGTTATCGCGAATGATCAACAAACGGGCTCGTCGGATGTTGATACATTGGAACCCCACGCTGCAAAGTGATGTTGGCGGATTGCCCTACTTCGGTTCTCGAGAGGGCGTTGCGGCGGTTTGTCTTGCGGTTGCGCCCCAGGTCGTTTTAATTAAAAGTTGTTTTGCTAAAGGGGGTTTTGTCCTGTCACGACCCTCCCAGACGCGCAGCTTTAGAACCCCCCCGTACCAGCCATGGCTGAGCGCCTTTTTGCCCAGTCCCCCCAGGACCCTCCAAGACAGCTCGGATCCAACCGCCCCAATATCCTTAGCCTGGCGAAAAACCCAGCCGTTTGCAGTTGTGAATGCCGTCGTTGTTAGTACCGCCTTCGGTGGATCTCCTCATGGGGCCATGAAGCGCGTGAGGAGTGTGCCGAAATGGGGTGGGGCTGCCAGGCGGGCGCTGCTACTGGGAAATGATGCAGGGCCCCCTTTATGCCACACAACGTGTGAGGAATGTGCCGAAATGGGGCGGGGACGCCATGCGGGCGCTGAGTGCTTCCGGTGGGGCCTTCGGTGAAGCTCCCTAGGTGGCCACGAAGCGTGTCAGGGGTGTGCCAAAATGGGGCGGCGCCGCCATGCGGAGAACGCCGCTGCGACCTTAGGTGGATCTCCATATGGGGCCACGACATGTGTGAGGGGTGTGCCAAAATGGGGCGGGGCGCCGCCATGCGGACTGCGCCGCTGGGGCTTTAGGTGGAGCTCCCTATGGGGCCACGAAGCGAGTGAGGGGTGTGCCAAACTGGTGCGGCGCCGCCATGCGGACTGCGCCAGTGGGACCTGACTTGGAGCTCCCTATGTGGCCACGAAGCGTGTGAGTGGTGTGCCAAAATTGGGCGGCTCCGCCATGCGGACTCCGCCAGTGGGACCTTCGGTGCAGCCCGCCATGGGGCCACGAAGCGTGTGAGGGGTGTGCCAAGAT